TGGCTGGATTGCAAGGGGGGGGGGGGGGGAGAGGGGGGAGAGAGAGAGAGAGAGAGAGAGAATGAATATGAGAATCTCATTCTGGGCCTTAAATTACAAGGTAAGCATGTAAAGGAGTAGTAGTCTACATGATGAGCAGGAGCTTATCTGGTAGCACTATCAACTACTCGCTCATTTCCCCTCTCCCCTATGCATTTTTTAAACTGGATTGCAAGGGGGGGGGGGGGGGAGAGGGGGGAGAGAGAGAGAGAGAGAGAGAGAATGAATATGAGAATCTCATTCTGGGCCTTAAATTACAAGGTAAGCATGTAAAGGAGTAGTAGTCTACATGATGAGCAGGAGCTTATCTGGTAGCACTATCAACTACTCGCTCATTTCCCCTCTCCCCTATGCATTTTTTAAAGGGAAGCCAGCAGCAGAGGCCCTATTCCTGGGTCTCAACACAAACACCCCCTGCCGCTTTGCTTTTTTAAAGGGAAGCTAGCAAGAGAGGACACAGGCTGAATCCCTGGTCTCCAGTTTCAACATTGTGCTAGCTTCTCCTTAAAAATGTAAAGCAGCAGCAAGCAAGAAGGGGTGTTTGTGCTGAGACCCAGAAACAGGGATTCAGTCAGTGTCCTCCCCTGCCATCTTTCCTTTAAAAATGCAAAGTGGCAGCAGGTGGTCCATCAACTACTCAATTAGCTGCTACTTAACATCCCTATGATCTGAAGAAGTGTTTGCCCAATGAAAGATCATCACCAAATAAACTATATTGTTATAAGTGTTTGCCCAATGAAAGATCATCACGAAATAAACTATAGTCTTTAAAGTGTTACATGACTTTTTTTAATCCCTGTTACCGTGTATGATCAAAGTGCCCCACTCTCAACAAGTGTGAGATTTAAACAATGAGGAGGTGAAAAGATCATTACAAAATACCTTGCATATTAGTGTGGTATTTTGCAGGAGGAGAGTTCATGTCAGATTACAGAAGTGTTCTGTATATTTGTTCACAGACACATCATTGGTGCAAGCACACTTGAAGTAGTGGATTGGAAGCATAGATGAAGTTCACTTCATACCATCTGCTATGCTCCTTTTAAACTCTGGATTCCTTGTTGTTCAGTTTACCCACATTAGAGGTTTTTAGATATGCCTTTGTTATTTTTCCTGTGGACTTCTGCTCCTCTTGATCTTATTCCAAGGCTGAGCCATATACCCAACTGAAAAAATAAGTGGGGATTTGGGTTTATTTCTGTTTCTATTTTCAGGGTTAGAAGAGTTACTTTTACTGCTTTAACTCGTTTTTCAGACTCTTGAGCAGGTAAAACACCTTCTTGGAAGCATTTCTTGGAGTCAAAATGTATGAACTGCTCCATCAAGTAGAACAATTCCAAAATAGTCATTGTTTTAAACAGGAGTTTTGTTCAGTTTGCACAGATTTCAGATCACATGAGTGTACCTCCTGCAATCATTTTATCTAGAGACAGCACTTATCTGTAACTAACAAGAGATGGTGTTTCTGGCTTTGTAAATTGCCTTTGGCTTCTTTTAATTGCATTCTATTCAACTTTTTTGTCTCTTGTTTTTTTTAAGCACCTCAGGCATCTAATGCTGACCATAACTACCAGAATGCTAATATTTTCTATTTGACTAGATAATACCCCAAACTCTACTGAGAATACATAAACTCATATGTTGGCTCAGTGTTGAATGCTCTGCATGATCCTGTAGCCTCAAACAGAACTCTTCTGTATCTGAGATTATCTGCAGAGCTATCAGAATGGTTTTACTGCTTCCCATTTATCGTTTTCATGTGGCTGTGTGGATCATATGTTCTTTTTAAGAAACCAGCTCCCATTGGTTCTGAGGTCAGTGGGGCTTTTGCTTCAGGATTATATGGAAAAATAATTTTTTTTTCCAAAGACAGAAAAAAAGATTTGCACTTCTTCTTTCCGTGTCACTCAGTATAGGTGAAGAATTTAACAACTTCTGGGAGTGTTGGTTAGAGCTAATTCTTAATTTAACTGACCTACCTTGACATTAAATGTTTACTACAAATTGCTGTGTTCTTCTCCATTCTGAATTTCCTTTTTTCTTATTGTAACATAATGTAATGTTATGATTTTTATGTACAGTTATGGAGTATTATTTATTTTATTTACAAGGGCCTGAAGGTTACTTAGCGACAGAGTCACAAGATCCATCGCATTTCATTTCTCAGCAACCTGTGGTACAAGAAGAAGAAGAAGTCATGATAGCTCATTCCCATCAAGAGGAAGCTGATCATGAATATGTATCCAGGGGGTGTAGAAACAAATGCCATTCACATTTACATGACACTCTTGGACAATCAGATCATCTGAGTCACCATCATCATGACTATCATCATATTCTACACCACCATCATACCCAGAACCATCATCCACACAGCCACAGTCAGCGCTACTCACGTGAAGAGCTGAAGGATGCTGGGATAGCTACTCTAGCCTGGATGGTGATTATGGGTGATGGACTACACAACTTCAGTGATGGCTTAGCAATTGGTAAGTGTTTTATACAATTCTTTTGCCATCCCATGTAGTAACAGCAATGTGAAATGGTTTCTTTGCTGCTACTTATCTGATATCCTCTCACTAGAAGTTAAGTGACTAATTTATTAAGGCAAGACTCTTAGAACTGGAAGGAACCTCGAGCGGTCATCAAGTCCAGTCTCCTGCACTCATGGCAGGACCAAGCATATCTAGACCATATCACACAGGTGTATGAAGGCTGTTGTGTGTGGTTTTTTTTTTTTTTTTTTTTTAATTTTTAATTTTTTAAAGAGTGGGTTAGACAGTAATGGAGATTCTACAATCTCTCTAGGGAATTTATTCCAGTGCTTAACTACTCTGACAGTTAGGAAGCTTTTCCTAATGACCAACTTAAACTTCCCTTACTGAAATTTAAGACCATTATTTCTTGTCTTGTCATCAGGAGTTAAGGAGAATAATTTTTCTCCCTTCTTAATGTAACAAACTTTTAGGTTCTTGAAGTCTGTGATCATGTCCTTTCTCAGTCATCTCTTTTGCAGACTAAACAAACCCAGTTCTTTCAGTCTTCCCTCCTATGTTAGGTTTTCTAGACCTTTAGTCGTTTTTGTTGCACTTCTCTGGACCTTCTCCAATTTGTATACACCTTTCTTGAAATGTGGCACATAGAACTGAAAACAGTTGGAGGGTCTGTGTTTGAGGTGTAATCCGTACAAAGTAGAGAGGAAGAATCACTTCTTGTATCCTATGTACAAAATTGCATCCCAGAATGTTTTTTTGCAACAGTGTCACGCTGTTGACTCGTTTAGCTTGCAGTCCACTATGATCCCTAGTTCTCTTTCTATAGTACTCCTTCCTAAGTAGTCATTTCCCATTTTGTATCTGTGTAACTGATTGATTTTTCTTTTCTAAGTGGAGTACTTTGCATTTATCCTTATTGAATTTTATTCTATTACCACAGACCACTTTCTCCGTTTGTCCAGATCATGCTGAATTTTAATCTTATCCTCCAAAGTACTTGCAATGCCTCCCAGCTCTGGTGTCATCTGCAAACATTATAATGGGGTGGGGAACTAAGGCCCAGGAACTGGATGTGGCCCCCTGTTTGCCTAGATCTGCCCCCCCTGAGGTTCAGGGCTTCCCCTCTGCGCCCTCCCCTCCCTAGCATTGGGGGGCCCATGCTGAGGTTCCAGCCCCCCTGCCATTTTCCCATGAGGCTGGAAAACACAATATTTACTAGCTTGCCTTTCCACCACCACCATGGACGCTGGAGTGTGAAGGGAATGGGGGAAGTGTTTTTCTTTTTCTCAGTTGGAGGCCATGTCAGTGAGGGTTTTGGGGTTTTTTTTCCCCATTTTCCACTTGTGTGTGACCCATGACTGATTGATTTTTCTGTGAGTCAGTGGTCCCTCACCCAAAAAAAGCTCCCCACCCCTGCTTTATAAGAATATTCTCTATGCTATTATCTATACCATTAATGAAGATACTGAACATAACTGATGCCTCAGAACCTCACTTGTTATGCCTTTCCAGCATGACTATTGTTGAAGTAAAATGGAAGGTTCGAGAATGTGGCCAGCCCCAGAGAGGTACAGAAACAGGCAGCCTTGTATTGAATATTTTTAACTTTTTATTAAAATGCTTTTAACTATAACTTTTTATGTATCAACTTTTTACATGTGTGGACGCCAGATAATTATTAACAGTAACAACAAACAAACTGCAGTACAATAGAGGAAAATGCCCTGGGGTTTCTCTAAGTCTAAGTAATTATCAATAACAACCCAGGGATTTTTATTAGTTATATTTACATTAATTTCACTCATAAGGTCTAACATCAATTTAACTCTTAACTGTACTATTTAACAATTTCTAACTAACTTACTCTTAACACTATTATTTATCAACCCTTTAACTAACTTTACACAGCAATACTCACATTTATCAGACATACAAGAGACAACAGCATATTCGTTATTCGTGTTATTCGTTACGCTCTGCAAAATATTCGGTAGATTCGGTGAGCGGGAGGGGGTCCTTGGGTGATCAGCCCTCAGAACCTGGCTCGTGTTCTGCCTTCCAAGTGTTCTGGAACCCTCAACTGCATGCAGGAGGGGTAGCTGTTTTATAGAGAGAGCAAAAGCTTTCCCGCGCCTAGTTGTGATAGGCTTGACAGATTCAGTCTGCCTAGTGACAGGCTGAGGGGGAAAGGGAGGGGGTGAGATGGCCCTTGAGTGGCAAGAACTTTGTATGACCCTTACCTGCCTGGTGTCTTACTCCTGGTTTTTACTGATTTTAAGTCACATAGTGCAGGATTTTTGGTTTGAGGGGAAGGTAAACTTGGGCTAGGAAGGCTATGCGCACGAGGCCTGGCCAGAAAAGAGCCTGTTTTCACAACTATGACCCATTGATAGATAACTATTCCCAGAGAGTAGTTATCTAACCAAATATGTACCTACTTTATAGTAGCTCCTTCTAAGTTGTATTTTCCTAGTTCGTTAAGCAGAAGGTCATGCAAGACTGTATCAAAAACCTTACTAAAGTCTAGATGATGGGAAGTTTATAATTATTGTTTTAATAATATATTTTACTTCCAGAAAATCAGACCAAGATTATCAAAACGGGAGCCTAAAGATAGGCACCTGAACTCATGATTAGGTACTTAAATATATGAGCTGACACTTCAAAAGTGCTGAGCACTATCAGCACTCACTGACTTCAAGTTTGATATTAATTCTCCTGTGTGGATAAAGATGGATGATCCTATGTCCACATTTTCCCTCAAGCTTCACTAACATTCCCCAAGATCAGGATTCATACTTTAAATATCCAGAGTCCCTAAGGCAGGAGTTCCAAAAGTTTTTGCTGGTATAACACCATTGTAATGAAGTATTACCTGAAAGGCCACAGAGAGGATGCTCTACAAAATGATGTACATCCCATGTCACATTGTGCAGAGTAAAATAGTGTCCTCTGCACATTTGGGGATCTCTACCACCCCATTTTCAGGCAGCACAACCCCAGTTGGGTTTGAGACCTATAGTTGGAAAACCTCTGCCCTAAGATTAAGTCCTATATGGATAATTTATCCGCAAAAGCAGCAGAATTTTGTGGCTTGTGGAGACGGGAGTGTGAGTCAGTCTGCTTTGGCTCAGATTGTCCAAATAGACCAGACCTATATTTATGGAGTTGTTGCATCCAAGATTCCTTTCGCAGCATGCCTTTGCATTGCCTCCATTGAAATATTTAAGGAAGTTATCTGGAGTGCTAATGCTTCTACACAGCTTTACTGCCACAATTTGGCTTCTAAATCTAATGCCCAGCATATGGGAACAGTCTTCAAGTACTACTTTCTAATAGTCTTCCTGCCCACTTCATAGAGGGTCAGTACTACAGGTGAACCTCTCTAGTCTGACATTTTAGTTAGCTGGATGTCCACTTATCATGGGTGTAGCCAAGTTTCCTGCAGTCCCATAAAGTTTATTTGTAGCCACCAATTCTGACTCTGTGTTCTGTGCTGTTATTTAGCTCTATTTTACCCTTAATGTCTTCCACTGCTTACTAGTCTCTTAAAAGTTGTTTCTAGACAGTATTGACCTCCTGTGATTTGGCAAATTCTCTGTTTTGGCACTGATCAGATCCCAAGGGTGTCAGACTAGAGAAGATCAACCTCTACTTGTTTAATGTCCCAAGAATGTGGATGCATGTAGTCAATTATCAAAGGAAGATGATTGTCCATATGGTTCAGTACTCTTTGTTCTTTTGGATAGATGATTTCTGAAATTAGTTGAAGCAGAGGGCAGTTGAAGCCACTTCCCCTCATACTTTCAGCATGCTGGTAAACCCATTATAGTGTATTCTTTTAAAGACTAACAAAAAAGCCTAATTAAGGCATCATTCTGTTAAGATAAAAAAATAACTGAGCATTTAAAAATAAGCGTGTGTTTAATTAAAAATAATTGAACTCTTCTCACTAGGGATGCAAAAAGTTAACTAGTGGGGGAGAGAGCAGCTCCTCACCTGCTGTGGACAGGGGTGCTCCAGCCTGGCCAGAGCAGCTCCTATACATGATGGGTCCTGGTATGCTGCAGGTAAGGGCTGCTGTGGCCGAGCAGGAGCACCCGTGCTTGCAGTGGGGAGGGCGCCACTCCAGCCTGACCATGGCGGCTGAGGGGGCTATTCCAGCCCAGCTAGTCTGGAATGCCCCCCACCTACCTCACCCCTTTATCACCCCTCATCCCTACTTTTGACTAAATACTTAGTGTACTTCCTGTGACTTTTAAAAGCCATAGCTTACCTAATGGTATAACAATATCTCCTCTTTCTTCATGGTTTATCCTTGTCCCTATTCCTTCTCTCATGTATGTTCTGTTCCTTCAGTTCTGTGGTACTGGAATGTTATAGCATCCATGGAAAGATTTAATGAGCTATAAACACAATTTATACATGCAACATTGAGTTTTAGGCATTAGACAAATGAGGTCAGGTTGGCTGTCTCCTGCCTTTCTCAAGCAAGATAGATAATGAGAATTCTGGATGTAAAATAAGATGGTGATGGGAGGAGAAATTAAATGAGCATCAAGATCAACAAGTCAAGATCATGGAAGATTAATAGTTTTCTACATGGGCTCATTGCACTACAGATGTTGGCTTCATTTTTAATGTAGGGTCACTTGCAACAATGCATTGTAGTCAGTTCAAGGGCAGTAACATTACTGTAAATCACATTGCAGAGCTGAATTCATTTTTCTTACTTGAATGAGGAAGATTTATAAATTATAATTTGTCTATATTAAAAAACACGCATTCTGTATCCAGTCAATATTTATAAAAAAAAATGTGGCCCATAGAATCTAATTTTTTTTCCAACTTATGAGTAATGAAATTGCGGTAGGAAAAATAAAAGGGTTTGCTAGTAATAAAAGTCAAGATAAATTAATTGTTCTAAAAACGAGAGAGATTTGGGAATGGATGGATTTGATGGACATGGAGAAAAACAAGGGATGGCTAATACAGTAAATGAGTTCTCAGATTCCAGCATGTATTTGGTTTTCTTGGACCTATTTATAATTGGGATGGGATGAGGGATGTTAGCATGTGCTGGTTTATATGATTAACCAATATGCCTGGCCTCCTCAATTAATCCTAATCGTTACTCAGACTCTTCCCCCCCCTTGCTGCCTGTGTATCGGAGGCAGCAGTGCGGGGATGCAGGCAGGAGCCAGCTTTTAAGCAGGCTCCGTGTGAGCACTGGCTCCCACCTGCCCCCCTGAATGTAAACATGTAACCACTAAAAAATTCACATTACCAGAATTACACATTTACAAAAAAAAAAAGTTTAATATCTGTAGATGGATAGGACTCAAAGGTTGCTAAGATGTATTAGAGTTCTGGTTTCACTGTTATAACATTAAACATAAAAAAGGGACATTTTCTTCCCATCATCACCACCATAAAAAACTTTCTTCTGTTTATGTGCTAATAAAAAAGGTTAAAATTGAGGACATCTTACAATTCTAGATAAAATTTTATTGTAAAATTTTCCCCCCTTGTCTTTTGAAGGGGGAGATCATTTTAGGTAGCTCATCAGTTGAAATCTAATCTGTTTGTTTGTTTTTTCAAGAAGTAAAAAAATCACGTGAAGGAAAAGAAAACATTGAAAGATAGGAAATGGGGTTTGTCTTATTAAAGCTTGTAGTTAGTTATAGATGTAAAATCCCAATTAATCAGTTAACCGGTTAAATCTTATGTTTAATCAGTTAAACAGGATCCCAGGAGGGACTGCTTTAGCCTGGTTGGAGCAGCCCCAACCTGCAGGGCTGCTGGCTCCAGATTCTGCTCCCTACCTCTACTCTGGGGTAGGGATGTTAAATTAATCAGCTAATCGAGTAGCCGATGGAATTTCCATCGGCTACTTGATTAGTCAATGAGGGGGGAGGGCACGCGCTATCCCTGCTGCAACTCTGCACAGCAGCCCGGCTCCTACTACATTTTAAGCTGCAGAGACACAGCAGGGTTAGCTCCCAGGGATGGCGTGAGCCAGAACTAAGCTGTCCTAGCTTGCACCATCCCCAGGAGCTAACCCCATTGCACCGCTGCTTTTTTAAAAGTTGTAAGAGCCACCAGGCTCTTGTGACATTTAAAAGGCAGAGGTGCAGCACTGGACCCAGCGCAAGCTATAGAGGCAGCAAAAAGGGGCGGGGAGGGGGGGCACAGGATGCAAATATTCAACTACTCTTTTACATCCCTACTTTGGGGGTCTGTCTTATGTTACTGGCCTCCCAGCATGGGTTGCAGCTAGCTCCCAAACCCTGTGAGGCTACTCCCTGGTACCGGTGAACCTGGTACCTTGTAAGCATTACCCAGTAAGGGTGATGGTTACTGAGTAACTGTTTATCTGGTTGCCCTTTCGTATCCCTAAGTTTAGTTGCTGGGTAATCAAAGGCACATCACGTAGTATATCCCCATGCCACAGTCGTCATAGTCTTGTTAGTCAGTTGGGAATTTAGCACAGTCATTTTGGCTAGAGAAGGCAAAAGGAGAGAGGCCTAGAATTGGAGGAATGAGATGATAGAAAGGGAGGGAAACCTACCCTATGGCAGCTGTAGTAGGACTCCTAGGTTTATGTTCTAGGAATTTCTGAGAACCCAACTAGGGCGAAAGTGATATCTATCTCCCTCTTATCTCCTAATTGGAACAGCTTTGAGGCTCAGGAATAGGGGCCCAGTGGACTCATGACAAATCTCTGTCCCATTAAGTGGTGAATGCATATGATGGTGAAGCTTGGTAGCTCTGCTTGTCGAATGTACTCTCATCCAACATTCTGTCTGACCACAAGCTCAAACTAATTACAGAATAATATTCAGAAAAGCAGTGTCCAAAAGGATTGCTAACTTTGACTAGTCATAATCATCCAATCGAGCAGGGTGCCAGGCCTGGAATGGAGGCCACCTGCAGTGCTATTTTTTAGTACCGCGGTCCTGGTCCCTGCGGGTAGCCCCGGCTCCAGCTGAAATCATGTGGCAGCTGCATGAGGTATGTTCCAGCTGGGGCAGCCTCACTGGAACAGGCCTCGTGCAGCTGCTGCTTGACTCCAGCTGGAGCCAGACTGCCTGCAGGGACCAGTACCATGGTACTAAAAATAGCACCGCGAACATTCTTTGCTCCAGTCCCAGCATGTGGTCCCACCCCAGGAGCAGCTGAGACTGGGCTGCAGGGGATTCTGGGGCTGGACCACAGTACTAAAAATAGCGCCCCAGCTCCGGCCCCCACAAACTGCTTTCCATGTCGAAGGCAGAAGGTGAGGGAAGGGGCAAGGGAAGAACTAAGGGGCTTGTGCTGAGGGGAGGAGAGGGAGGTGGCCATGAAAAGAGAAGAAAGGGGCAGGCACCAAAGGGCCGGATAGAGGAGAGAGAAATGCCAGGGGGCCAAAAGGAGACAATGAAGAAAAAGGCAAGGGGGGGGGGAAGGTAGGGAAGTGTCAGCAGAGGTGGGAGAAGCGAAGTTACAAGGTGATGCTGGGAGGGGGGCAGGAGAAGAGGGGTTGAAAGGAGGGGTGGGCTTGAAGAAGGCAGGGGATGGAGCGTGTGAGGGCACAGGGGGATGAGAACTGGTACAGAGGGTGGTGAGGAGGTAAGCACCAGGGAGAAAGTAGGTAAGGAGGGCTGGGGCAGTGAGGGCAGGGGAAGGCACTAGGAAGGTGCAGGGGTAAAGGAAGGTGCCAGGGGATTGTGGGGGTGAAGCAGAAAGGCTGACACATGGAGGAGAGGGATGGGTGACAGAGGAGAGAGGTGGGGCAGGTGGGTAGAGAGAGGTGTTTGGAGAGAGAATGAGGAGGGATGGCTAGAGGAGGGGTGGGCCCAGCTGGGAGAGAAGAGTGGGTGTAGGGGAGGGGGCAAGTCCCAAAAGGGCTGAGGGGAGTGAGAAGGGCAGGAGCCAGGACAGCAGAGGAGTAGGGGGACAGCAGCAGGCACAGGGGAGCAGATGAGGTGAGAGGAGGGTAGGAGACATGGCAGCAGAGGGAAAAGGGTGAGGTTTATAAGAGATTTATTAATAATTTGGGTGCCACAGTGGCACACATCTGAACAAGCACACATGAACTCAAGACTGGTGCACAAAACAATTAATTCAGCTCATGAGAGGAAATTCTTAGAGGGAACACTTCCCACAGTGTCTCCCCTCAATTTAATGTAATGCGAGTTGGGTTAATTTAATTGCAGGATAACTGTATGGAGGGTTCTGTGGGGGCCAAACCCATTACTATTGGTAGAAGATGGTGGGAGGAGTTCTTAGAAGGGTCACACAACACCCTCTACTTCTGGTCATGTGTCCATTTTGACTCTGGGAGTATTCCTTCCAGGGGTGGGACTTGTGGCAGAGGTTGTGGCTAATGGAGGGCAGAGGGTATGGCCAACATGTCCCTAATTTTGGTTCTGAAAATACGGTCACCATAGCTTTATCACTTCTTGAAAGTGGATGAACCATAAAACTTTAAGCGAAGGCACCAAAAAATTTGCATTCTGATACGTTTATTTGAGCCTTTGGTATGGAAAAGACTTCTTTGTGAGATTTCTTAATACCCAGCAGGATTGACACAACCACAAGAATGACCTCCCACCCAGTTTCAACCCTAGATTTAGTCAAGTCAAAATTTTGTAAAATAGAGCTGGCTAATAAAAATCAGGCATCTAATTTCCAGCAGCTTGAGTGAAGTGTAGGGTCAAGTTTTTTGATGAAGCACCAATTCCCTGCTTTTTTTGTTTTTGTTATTAAAGGCCAATATTAGATTTTTTTGCAGTTTAAGTTAAGTGCTATACAAGCTGGGCTTGAAACAGAAATTACAAAGTTAAATTATTTTGTCATATAGGTTTGACTAGATGATGATTGTCCATTCTGGCTTTAAAATCTCATGTGTGTATATGAATCTCTCTCTAATGTATGCAGATGGCAGTATTACTGTTTTGGGAGTTTCGCCATTTCTGCCCAAACTTGAAATGAACATATGCAGCATTGTTACCAAACTTGGTTTCTAAAATTGTAACACTTTAGGGATTTTTTTGTCTTACAGGTGCAGCATTTACTGAAGGTTTATCTAGTGGATTAAGTACTTCTGTGGCTGTATTTTGCCATGAATTACCCCATGAGTTAGGTAAGACAACATAGCATTTTAGTAAATGATAGTTTGCTAGGAATTTGGAAGTCCCAAAAGAATAATGCTTTATTTTATGTGTTTTATGGCATAGCAAATATTCTGAAGTCTTAGCCAAAAATAATCTGGATCAGAAGAGTTCACTCATTTTACAGCTGAGCAAACTTACAGTTTATTCAGTGAATTTTCTTTTTTCTATTTGTGAACAGATTATACAATTTATGAATGGATTTACCATTTAAAATTATTTGCAACATTCAGAAGTTTAGCTTTGTTGATCACCTTTGCAAATATTGACATGGCATATATAGTTACATGGCAGAATTTTTTCCTTAATTTGTGTGATTTATGTGTAAATTATGAATCTTTCAACTGAATAGGCAATTTGAAATTTGCATCCATCAAATATCTGCTTAACATTTCCGTTTGAGCATGGAGGATAAAACATAAGTATTCAATTTTTTGCTGAAAGGGTATTTAGGTCACAAATATCGGATCAAAATTCAGCTTCAGGTTTGAACAAAAATTGATTGGGATTTTTTTCCCCCATTATTATTCAGTTCTAGCTCAGATCTTGCAAAACATTCCTATCCAAAGTCTAAATTGGGGATATTGTTTGCAAATCCATGTCCAGAGTCTTTTTGCACAGATCTGATTAATTTCTGCATGTCTTCCAGATAACAGTGTACATACTACTAGGCCTTAGGTTTAGGAGCAGGTATCTGTCACAAAATTGTTGTTGGAACTTGAATTGGGCATTTAATATTTTTTTATCTCAATAAAATGAGGTTTGTCGTGTTTACTGAAGTATTAGATATGTAATGGGCAGCCTCTGAGGGAATGATTTTTAAGAAGGAATCTCAAGTATGTCTTGGCTGGAATTTTGCCTTGACATAGAATTTTACTGGCTGTGGTATTAAAAAAAGTGGGGTTATATATAGGGATGTTAGTATATAGCTGTTTAAACTATTAACCAATAAGCATGAACTTCTCAGTTATTCTAAAAGTTTTTCTATCAGAGGCAGCAAGGTGGGAAGGCAGG